TGCTTCTCCAGTGATACCACCTCCAGTGAATTTATATATAATATTTGCTTGCCGTTTTACAGCTTGAAGTTTTCGGGCAATTGCCCTGTCTAAGTTTAGCTCAAAATAATTAAATCGCAAGTTTTGGGTTCGGGGATTGGAACTTGTTTGTAATCCCTATTTATTAGTACTTGTCATGGTATATGATGAATCTATGTTATTAATCATCTAAGATTGTTAATTGCGTAAAGAATTTTTTATCGGTTGTCAGAGATATGCAGATATTTTTATTCACAATTGGTTTTGATCGGATCTATTTTTGAGCAAGCGTGGCTTGGATATCCCATGCCTTCTGTTTTATAGTCAACTTTACAATTAGGATGTTATTAAAACCAACTGTCTTTCTGTATCAAGTCTGAAATTTGACCAAGCCAAGCTTTAGCAAGTAGTCTTTTTGGGTGTATACCGTCGGTATATAAAGTTCAGGTATTTCTCAGTGGGTTTATTTTTCCCTCTTGATCTTTGTCGCCTACTTTGTAAGTGGATTGAGAAACAGGGAGATTTGGTTCCGAGAGTACTATTCAAATACTTTATGCCGTCATTAATTTTGATTATTTGTTGTTGTAGTTGTGTTTCCTGCTCTGTATATTTATCTACTATATATCAGATTGTGTCACCAAGTCGCTATGGTTGTTATTACTATCCTTGTGATTACTCTGTTTTTACTGTTGATTTCTGAAGCTATTTTCTGATTATATTTAATGATGGAATATGGTGGTATTTCAAGTATTGTAAATTCAGAACGTGGGTATTCCTTTATAGCATCAATACAGTCATGAAATTTATCTAAGATGAGTTGAATTGTATCGTCGTTTGTAGATGTAAATGTAACCGTTCTTATCCCTTGTAGTGAGGTTACAAGTACCTGACCAAATATATACACTGATATCACCGACTCATTGATCTTGGATAGTTGTGCCTGGTTTACTACGCCAGTGTATATTTTTGTCAATTGGATGTATAACCTGATCTCTTAAATATGTCCCTTTGCTATCCGATATAATGATTGGAGATAAATGTTGTGAACCAGTAAGAGGTTTGCGTGGAGTTTGCAAGTATTTTGTCAATTTTGCCTCTGTCATGAATGGTTGATATAATAATATCATATATTGCTAGTATGCTTCAGTTTATAATCAGTTGATCTATAAAAGTTTAAGCTTAAGCAGTTAGCTATGAAGCATATATAGTCTAAATAAAGCTGTGGCACTACTAAAATCCTATATAAAAGTATTAGACTGTCGGATCTAGGTTGTATAGCACTTTCGAGATTAAAAGTTCAAAGTTCGTACGTTAATTGTACAATAAGCAAGCAGCGTGGCTTGGATACCCCATGCCTTCTGCTATTTGGTGCACAATTTCAGCTGTAAAAGATATTAACGAATAAATGTTTATCTCAAATAATATACTAAAATAATAAAATCTTGTTGTTGATCACTGCGCTAGATAACGGTCCTTCGCAGTTTGGAAGTATTCTCAGAATGTATAAAAGGTTAAAATAACGGATGGTTAATTGTTAAATAACGTGTATTTAAACTTTCCTCCAATAAAAGTTCATAGATGTAAGCTTCTAGTGATGTAGCATAAAATTTCTTAAAATATTTGTTGAATTTTCACCATGGCCGCCACAATATTTCTATGCATGTGGTCCTCTTTCTCGGATGAAAAGTTATCAATAAAAGGTAAAATTCGCTTCATCGTAGTTCAAGAATGGATAGTTAGGTGTAAATTATGCAGGGTCACTCACTGCAACTGTTGTCAGTAGATAAAAAGTCGATTTTCCAGCACCATATGAAAACACATCCGTCACCATTAAAATCAACGAAATTCGACCGTATCAAAGACATAGATAGCTATCTGTATAAATAATCGAACATTTTCAAGAAGTTCGGAGAATCTTGTTTCCAGAAATATCCGAATGGCCCATAGAAGCTACCAAAACTCACCAATATATAGGCGTGAACCCCCTCACGCAAAAAGCGCTTCGGACGCACCATGTTTATAGAGTGATTTGTTTTCGTTATGTGACGACTCCGGATGCTGATTATTTTGATTGGATGAGAATTGAAACGTTGTTAAGGTAACAATATCATTAAATCAAAGAGAGCATTGTAGCGACAGCTTTTGTTAAGGTTAATTTAACAAAGGGTAATATACTTATCTCAACCGATGGCCTCGCAAATATAATAATCTTTCATTAAACGTTTTTAAACTATCGACTGTAGATCATAAGAAGCTAATAGTAAAGACCAAATGAATCGTTTTTTTTTTTCTATAATACAATTTATTATATTGTGGATTCATTTTATGTTTCGCTGGTAACACTATTCGATTTATGAGAAATCTTACTATTTCGAGGGTACATAATTTTTGTGGTTTTATCATTTGTTCCGATTTAAGTACATGTATCTGAACATTTATATTTCGTTGAGGGTCTTATTTTGTGGTTTCTTTATAATACCCATGAAATCCACGAAAATCTGTATCCAACAAATATCAAAGATGAATCCACTGTAAATGTCGTTGTTGTAGATAGTTTTTGGCATTTTAATCGCGTCAGTAGTAAAGTAAGTATCATCCTCAATCAAAATTAAAAAGAAAACTTCTTCGTTCTGTTTACTGCTTCTGGTTTGAATGGTGCTCTCGAAGATAAATGCGTTGAACGGTGGTAAACTCAAACCGAACGGGAAAATAGTAAAAGTCTTCAGAACCAACTTATTTCTCGTTGATCATAAATGTTTGAATGCATAAGGTTGAATAAATAGAAAGATTAAATTGACACACAAGAATATATACACAATGTCCATTCTATATTTCTTTTTATATATTTTATTCTGAAAAAAAATGGTAAAACAATAATATATGTGAGCTCCATTTTTTTTGTTTTTTTTTGTTTGGCTTTTTTGTCACAGCCAATTTTTAAACCGATTGATATTGGCTTAATAATTCCTAATATTTTGATCTTATAACAAACATTACTTAATACAAGATCAATTATTTCAGAAATTAATTAGGAATTTAACGAATCTTATCATGTGAATTAAGAAGAAAACATCTGATCTTTTCCAGAGATTTATTCTACTTTAAAATAAATACAGCACTTCAATGCTCACTGCTAACATCAAGACAGATAGTGTTTGGCAGCAATATAACCTATGGCGGTAACGGGAAAGAAAAGGTGCAGGTGATATGGTGATGTCGTCTGCCACCATTAAATCATTAGATAAAGTAGGGAATTAGCCTAATGATTATTGAATTATCCACTTTTGCTTGTAAAATTTGTAACTGCAACTACTTATGACAATTTCAATTTTCTTCTCAATTAGTCAACTTCAGAACTTCATTAGCTATGATGCTTCGCGGGCAATTATCAACGTCTACATGCCAACATGATATCAATTATGGATAACTGTTTACAAGTAATTTCCGAGATTCAAGGAATAAAATACTGATAAATTGTTAATTGTACAACTTTAAAGTTCATATTACTTTCGGACATTGCATTAATAAAGTTGTAATATAAATCTCTCCTGACGTCACTGCAGTTACTTTAAAGGAAATTGAGACAAGGATTTGCGGCCTTTTTTCTGAAAAATGTCAGTTCAAAGGTAGTATTCTGTATTGTTTGCAAGTAATCATGTAAGCAAATACACAGCAATTTGTTGTCTTTACTACAAACATTAGACTGTAGAATGCAAGAATTAACAAATATTCAATAATGTCAAATATGTCATACTAGCCAGTAGGTGGCGGATTACAGCAGGTTAATGAGCATCTTTGCTAGCCAAGGGTTACGATCCAGTCCCCTCATCTCAACCCTTGACAGATTAAGCCAACATTTGCAATTACAATGCTGCGCCATCTGCCGGTAGATAAAAGTCACGCCCATTCCGACTACATCATTTTTGACCAATGGCAGCACTTGAACTCTCTTCAGTGTGGAGGTGTAAAATGGTTGTGTATTCCGTGAAGCAGGAACCGAAAAAATACGTTGTCATTCCGACATCTGCGCAAGAAACATACCCAGGAACTTAGATTAGTTGATTAAGAACTTTAAAATTGTCACTAAATATCCTGCTATGTTTTGGGGGTAAAGGCTTGTCGCACAATCAGCACGTGGCAATTGTCTATTTACACTTTCACATTTACACGTGATCATCTTAAAAACGCTTTTTGATTAGATGCAGCCAGTAACAACTGCGAATAATGGAAATCATTACCTCTTGGATCCGAAATTCTATCTTAATCCGCCAAGGGAGGAGAGGAGGGGACTGGATAGTAACCCTTGGCTAGCGAAGATGGTTAATGAGATTTTACCCAGGAAATGTTGGAGAATTTTTCGAGTCTTTAATTATTGCCTTACAATTTGACGCAGAGCTACAAGTTTTTAGACAAACTAGATCATTTTCCGCGGGTGCTCACCAAACATATATCCGCTGCATCCCTTCGAGGACTTTTTTAAAAGGTTTCAGGGTTGCAGTTTGTTTATGGTGTCACGGAACATCTGTTATTGTACTTAATAAGCCACAATTGGTTGAAAAATATTTAGCCAGGTCAGATTAAATATGTTGGGTATTTAGTTGCACTAAAATGTAACCTGTTACTAACTGGTATAGCATTCGTAAAGTTCCATATAACACGACTGCACACACAAAAAAACAAGAATGTGTCCATAGTACACGGATGCCCCACTCGCACTATCATTTTCTATGTTCATAGGACCGTGAGATTGGGGTCAAAACTCTAATTTGTCATTAAAATTAAAAAGATCATATCATAGGGAACATGTGTACTAAGTTTCAAGTTGATTGGACTTCCAACTTCATCAAAAACTACCTTGACCAAGAACTTTAACCTGAAGCGGGACAGACGGACGGACGGACGGACGATCGGACGCACAGACCAGAAAACATAATTCCCCTACTACTATCGTAGGTGGGGCATAAAAATGGAAAGTACAGAAAAACTTTGCATCGATAGATTATTTTAAATCATTGAAATTCTACAATTACTTTCTACGACATGAACAGGAAAAATGTATATCAGCACTTTCTGATGTTTGCACATAATTAAAAAATCATTAAAAAGTTACTGGAACAATAAAAAAAAATTCGACAGTGTCAAGTTTCGAATTATAATCGGCTCCTGGTCCTAATGTAGATTTTCAATTTAAAACAGCACTATATGTAAACAATTTTTAAATGTCAGTGCAGATTCTGTCTTCGTGCACTCTCGCACGTTTTCGGAGCTCAACGATACTTGAAGCACATTGGTCTATCTCAGAAACAACTTTGTCTGGTTTTGGATTGGAGACAGGTTCCATATTTGTTCTCTTTGTTGTCATTTGAGCCAATAAGTTTTGGAATGACATAGATGGCACTGTTGTCAGGGGTTTTGAGAAAAGCGGAACCGACGCATTGTAAAGTGTAGGCGATAATATTGCGCTTGGATTGTAAACACCATTAAAATGGGGAACTAGTCTGTCCTGTCTTGTTTGGTGCAGATGGTTTTCGTAAGCTTTCAGTAGAATCTCGGTGTAAGATTGCGATGGAGGAGGAGGAACCATGAGTCCTCGAGAAGAAAATTGTAATGACGTGGATGGGAAACTTCCAAAATTGTTAAATGGATGGCCATGTGGGCCAACTTTTTCCTTCTTTCTCCATTTTGCCCGTCTATTTTGAAACCAAACCTACAATGAGACAACAAAAATAAACATTTAATGTAATTCTTAATTTCTGTGAATTCATTTTCCTAACTTTAGGCAGCAAACAAATGTTTATTGTATACTTCATCTCCTTATCTTTATATAAATCTTATCGTGGAAGTAAATTGAAAGTCAATATGATACTTCCATGATCTTATTTGTATTGTTATTTCAAATAAGAATAACGAAAGGATGATGAGTATATTTCAAGCAGATAAAAACACATGTTATAACACGACAAAATTCCTCCTCCATCCAAATCTAGTGGTCAAAACAATATTTGTATTTGAAATGTCATCAAAGATATAAACTGCTTGGCATATAGTACACCTGGCGCAAATAAGAATCACCATTGAAACGGTTAGAAAATTTAATTTCTTTACTTTTTCAAACCGTTTATTTTATTACTTCATAAATTATGAAGCATGGTAATGTATACAATACACGAAACATAACTTTTAGGTGTTACCGCTTGAATGTCTGGGTCAAATTTACAGAAATAATTCAAAACAATTATAATCTCTCCGGACTGTACACTTACAACTTTGAAGTCTTTCATATATTATGCACAAAAACACTTATTTTCGTATCATTCGGTTCGATTTTCAACTGATATTTCGTTAAGAACATGTTCCCATATATTCGAGATCCTAAGAAGTAAAACTCATCCTTAATTCTAAACTCTTTTGTGTAGGTATTAGTAATATAAGACTTGAATTCACCACGAGTGGAAGGTGTCGTTTCGTAGTAATGATCGAGGATGTAAACTATTTTTGATTAGGATAATCAATAAAAAGGACTTCAGACATTAGTGGAACCCATATTGTATAAACCAAATCAAGTGTTTTTTAATCATAAAAGTCAATAAAAAGCTGACAAATCATATTTTACTAATAATTTGCAAACAAACTTTATTTATTTTCAAAAGCAAAAAAATGGTAGCCACAACTTGATACCTGCAATGTAGTAAACTCAATTATATGTTATGTCAATAACTTACATTTATATTTGGACAATTATTTTTAAGTAAATATAATTTTGTAAATCGCAATGATTTCGACAAAAAAACAAATTTATCTGACAAACATTGGCACTAAATTTCCATCTGGTCTTTTTGTTTAATGTGCACATAATAACTATGAGTAAACAGTACACAAATACGTACTGCATTGCAACTATGGCCACATACAGTATAACTTCTTGTTCATGTATATATGAACTATTTGTTGTAAATCAAGGGACTCTGTTAGTTTGAACTGGGACTATTATATTATGTCCCAGGTTTGAATTACAATATCAAATATACATAGTCTGTATATTCAACATTCATATCTTCTTAACTCGGGATGACAAAGAAGTCTTGTAATAGAGAAACATCCATTGGCAGTTTATCTGAATGTAATGAATAATTAAATTACCTGAACCCTAGCTTCAGTCAAATCTATCCGCATCGCCAGTTCTTCTCTACAAATAAAGAGTAATTGTTACATCATTTTAAAACTGAGTTTTTGATACACCCAACCATCAAATATCAACCTAAAAGTTGGAAAAAATGACTGAGACCTATCTATTTTGCTAATAATTGATGGAAAGTGAACCTACCGTCCTTATACGTTTTATATCTTGTACTATAGAAAGGCACAAAAGTAACTCCCAGTATTTTTTTTATCATAACGTTAAGTTGAATTTTGATAGTTTGTCCAATATTCTTTCGTATATATAAAACGAGTTCAAGCTTGAAACTATATCTTTTGTACTTTCAATATGGTTTTTAAATATCGATACATATTTGAATAAACATTTCTGCCTAATAGATTTTAAAATCTAAACTTATTAAAATTACCTCATGAAAACATCTGGGTAGTGTGTTTTTTGGAAAGCTCTCTCAAGTTCTTCCAGTTGGAAACTTGTGAAGGTAGTTCGATATCGTCTCTGTTTCCTTTTCCCATATTCATCCATATCCCTGTCGTCATATCGATCACTAAATCTTTCTCCTATGTCTCTGTCACAGCCCTCGCCGAAAGTAAAGGGTTCGTTAATATGTGAAATGTCACTAGAATAAGTACTGTTATCATGGAAATTGTCAACTCTGTGAAATAGAGAGACTGTTTCTTGGGAGGTTTCTTCTTTCACTGTTCTTTGAGATTCATTCTGATTCGGTTGGTCAGGAGATTCATAACGACATATGTTTTCTGGTGACAGTAAGGAAATATTTTCTGAATGGTTGGAATCTGGTGATGAGGTCATGACTCTGTCAACACCCGGTTGATGAATATCTATAATTCAAGAAACGTAAAATATTTTTTTTTGTTTTTCTAAGTTTTTAGGTTTTTTTTTTGTTTTGTTGGGGAGTAGGAGGGGTTGGGTTTTATTTGTGTGTGTAGTATAAAACGCACTAAAGCACCGTTACATGTTTTATATTATTGGCAAAGATGTTCGCAGTAAACCCGTGTTTTTGAGTTGCTGTCTTATAGACCTATACAAACAATCACCTTTTTTATATTTTCAAATCGTATTTATTTAAGACTTAAATCAACTTATAAACCTGAACCACAATCTTTAATCCTAAATTTTAGCTTAAGAAGACGATCGAAAGTTTTAAAATATTTTCATACGAACTTACAAAGACATAAATAGTACTGTTCCATCTACTACCATAGTATACAATACCAGATAATGATAATGAACAATATATCTGTTTGAATTAGTTTCCTTGTCATATACATCTCTGGAACTACCATATTAAACAATCTAAAGACTACCAGATAATAATAATGAACAATCTATCTGTTTGAATTATTTTCCTTGTCTTTACGGTATGTTATATATAACTCCGTATATTTCTTTATAATTCTGTTCATCTTTTACTAGCCCACTCTTTTTATTCAACCCTTTATTACTGATGGTGGCCCTTAACCAGAAGTACATGTTCATATTAGTGATATTAATTGCATTAACTGAATTCTAGGGTTCCGTTAAATGCATGCGGAAGGTCGGTGGTTCTCTCCGGGCACTCCGGCTCCCTTCGTCCACCAAAGCAGCCAATAGTGCTGAAAGTGGCCTTAAACACCAAAGGTCGATTAACCCACTGCATGTAATTAAATCCACTTCAAAGATACATAACTCGTAGAGTTTGTCATATAGATATTCCTAATTCTCTTTGAATCTAACCGTGCGGAAAATAGTCTTTTTAATTAATTAATTTGTTTTCAAATTTTACAATGACTTGAAAACATGCAATTAATTTCAGTAGTGTTAACTGCGGAGATAAAGTATAATATATTATTACAATTTTATTATTCCCTTTTTCATTTCAGTTAATTTCATTTTTTCAAATCCCTTTGAGATTAAAGATGAAATATATTTTGTGTGTGTTTTTTTTATTTCATTGCATTAGTTTAATTCGTTTTAACAAATCTCTGTGAAAGTTTTTAATTATAATTTTATAAATAATTTAACATTACTTGCTAAATTACACAAATTATATAATGTTTTGAAACATTTTACGAGTGCGAATCTATCGTGTAATTTAGGGACGAAACACTTCATGATTTATAAATGCACACTTAAAAGAAAATGGTATTAAATTATAGCATATATTCCTGCTAAATTACAATTAATATTCTATTTTAATTTCAACCACTAATGGGTTGAAATTTTGAACAATCACTCAAAAATATGTTTTAATAATTACATTATTTTTCAATCAATAAATTCATCGATGTTCATAGCAAGTTTACCATATTTCTCATCGCGCTTTTATTTACTAACAAAATTGTAAATATTTGCTGTACAATTAAGATTTATACTTTTTGAGCCTTGTATTGAAGTGCGAGTTCTCGTAATGTGTCATAATACCAATTAAACAATTAGATTAATTTGTCAAATATATAGATTTTGAAAAAGTACTATGTGTCAGCAAATACATTGAATTGACATAAAACATAACAATTTGTGATGAATTATTTTTTGAATTATTAGGATATTGATTGTCAATAAATCTGATTCAAATTTGAAATTTATTTTTTCAACATGATAGTTTTTCTATAAAGAAAGTATTGTTAATTGGTATTAAAGTTCTTCTCAGAAAAAGCAGTCTGAGCCATTCTCCGTTCACCTGGTATTTACAACAATGTCAGAGCTATTACAATGGTAAAATCAAACACTGAAGGAAATACACTGTATACCTTTAGGGTAGCAGGGCATATTTAGTTTGTTTTGCATGAAATTTAATGTACTCCTTCTGAATTCCTGCATACGGCATTTACACCAGTTTGTGTCGTTTTATCTTAATTATTAGTACATGTAGTATGAATAAAATAACTAAAATCAGACCAGACTGAAAAGACGTATTCATAATACAAAGCACAGTTTATAATATTAATACTAACTGAGTCGTACCGCAACGAAGAAAAGGTAAACATAAATAAATCAGGGTGACATTCTGTAACGTATGCAGAAATAAAAGTACTACGTTGGTAGTTCGAAGAATATTTCCATTATTCGCAGTTAACGATACCCGGGATCAAAGAAATATCTATTGTTTTCTTATTTCCTTAGACCTAATGTAGATTTTCAGAAATTGTCATAGAACACATGACTTTAATATAATTGATTTAACCCGTAATTAAAACCGTCCTGTGAATTTACCGCTTAATATTAATAGAGCTTTCTTCCAATTTGACGAAAAGTACATACGTAAAACCCCGTCTGAGGGATCCTCTATTTTGACTCTTTTCAAAATATGACATATCTAAATATGTAATCATAATCAAGGCTGTCATTAGACTTAGATGGCGTTTTGCCTCAATGTTCGTGGGACATAGTAATTTCTGGATATACGAGGTTAAAAAATTCTACCATCAGGAGGGAAGGAGATAACTCAACAAAATTTGCTACAAAGGCCTCGTCAGGAGAAGAAAATAAAAGATTGTGCTCCAACCCCCCCCCCCCCCATTCAACCTAAGAAAATACCAAGGCAAATATATTGCTCTCCCCCCCCCCCCCAAAAAAAAAAAGAAATAAACCCAAAACATTACTTTGAACTTTTTTTTTGTCAACCTCCCCAGCCGAGTCTGTAAGATTACCTATGGAATTGATTTTTCAGCGTGTATCTGCGATTTCATCCAAGTATGTTTACTGTTCAATCATCAGTGTTGAAATTCAGAATATATGTAGTGCAAGATTGTTCATCCCCCCCCCCCCCCCCCCGAAAATCAAATAGTAGTACGCTAATTTTCATATTGAACTCTATTTAAATTGATGGTAATGGTCTTCTATTTGTTGGTTGGCTGTTGTATTATAGACATTTATCCTATATCTAACTACTAGTATCTAAGTCAAAACTGTTTGTGAGGGTGTATGTGTGTTAAGTCAACTTTAGTGTTCCCCTTGAACTGACACGGGATTTCACGTGTTCGCTTTGTTTTTGTTCGCATATGACCTTTAAATCAATTGAATTAACTTCAAACAAAATCTATTTTTTGCCATCTCCCAGTTTTTTTGTTTTTAAAAATTTTTCCATACATTGTTGCATCTTAGTCTGGCAAATTTTGCTGATCCTCGTTGACAATTTGATGATGGCATAGTCTTTTTAAAATATATGAAAATAATAAAAAAATTTGTCGTTAAATTTTGAGTATTTTACACTATTTATCTTTATTTTCAGATATTAAATGCGCGTTCTATTCGCGATATGCTTACATTTTTAAAGATACCTTTGATTCGGAAGAGAAAGCAGTTTTACCGGATGAAACATAGACTTTAAGTGTTACTTGCTCCCTTTACGTTCGTTCGTACCTTTCGTCAAAATGTAAGAAAACTTTAAAATTTAGGAGTCGACTATACACAAGTTTGTTTTTTTCTTGTGCCTTTTCCTATTTACGCTATTTTGCAAAAAGAATATGCTTAAAATAAATCCCATTTGTTTGTATTTAAATCGTAAACCCTGGTTTTAAATGAGATCAAAGCTACAATTATTTGATTTTCTAATAATTTTGTCGTTTGAGTGACAAATTCTATAAAAATTGGGAATATTTCAAAAAGCAGGCAGTTTTTATAAACATAAAAATATCGGACATAAAAAGAAACTCAAACTACAAGTTATGATTCCCAAAATTACTTCATAGTTCGGCAGTACACATATAATAGCAAGGACGGATCCAGGATTCGAAGAAAGGGGATGTTAATTGTCCGTTATGGTAAAAATATAGAGGCAAACTTATCGAGGTCAATTGTTTTTACGATTTTATGCAATAAAATAATTTTTCAGATAAAAAAGGGTACACACTCTACGCCCTCATCCGAATACCCTGTGTAAAATTGCTTATAGATACTACGAGCAGGCTTAAAGTATTTTGTCAACATAGCATATTACACTCTGCCTCTGAATTTCTAATATATTAAGTTATATAACTCTTTCATTTATAGTAAAATACAAATACACTCTTGACCACAACTTTTTCTTTATGTGAATTGTAAGGACTTCTTTATAGAGTTTGTTGAAAAAAACTAGTTACCCAATCAAGAGGGAGGAATGACGAACAATTAATTTTTCATTTATTATGTATGTTCACTTGAAACGGTGGGATGACAATTTGTGAACTTTCAGCCGTAAATTTATCAGACCAGTATCATCAGTATTTACTCAGTTGTATCATTATACGTTTGATATCTATTGCACCCATTTCTGCATTCTTCCAAACTACCAGAGGTTAAAAGGTTAAAAAAAATGAGTACATTTGGTTGTGAGTTAATGGAGATTGGACAGTTGTCAAATTAATCTAATGAAAATAAGAGATAAATGAAAAAGATTTAAGCAGATTTCAGAGATTCATTCTACTGCTTCGGCTAAAGTTGTATAGCCTTGGTTTGCTACATAAAACCCCTCAAATTATCTGAATAGAAAAGATACAGGAGATATATAATGGCATAATGTACAATAAAGTCTTGCATACGTATTTTTTATTAGTTGTTATTAGCTTTGAACTTGCTTTCGTTAACAACGAATACTCTAAGATCAGTACTTTGTATCTTAAGTCTTTGTCATAGTTTTTTTTTTTTTTTTGGGGGGGGGGGGGGGGGGGGGGGAGGGATGAAGTCATTATTTTAGAAAGATAAAAGATATGACAACGGGAAACATATAAACCGACGGAATATATAAACACTTTCAGGTTGTTTGGTACAGGCACTATATCGTTACCATTATAAATCATATATCATGTCCGAAAATACCTAAGCGGGAATGGTAATTATCATGATTTGGTCTTTGCTTTATTGAATAACGCAGTAATTTAAATATGCGTTATGTTTTTTCAAAAATTAAATGAATATGATATATAGCGCATTTTCAATAATGTGGAATTAAAGTGCTATTTATCGTAATATATGCGTTTAATATTTAAAAGAATTTTGTTGGTGGCAAATTTTCGCTATATATCGCTATTGTTTTGAAATGGCGCGTTACAATTATTTGATAAATAGCGCACTATAATTAATTCTAAAAAAGGTGCTATAATGAATGAATAGTGCTCTAATTTGATATACGCACTATGTAAGACGACACGGATAACTCTTTTTAGATGTGTTGTTTTTCAAAGAACACTTTACGTTTTGAATTGGAAACCAAAACGAGAGGAAGTGTTAAATGATTTTACCATAATGTTTTTTTTTTTCTAAATATCCTTATCTTAATCAAAGATATAGTATTTATGTTCGAATATTGTGTTTTAATGAGCCCTTTTCAGTTACCCCAAAGGCAAAACAATATATATTATATATCTATATATATATATATATATATATATATATATATATAAGACACTTCCTATGGAGTTGGTTGTCCAAGTTTTGGTACACATTTAAAATACAAATTTCAAGGACCAAGAATTCAGAATATCAGCTGAAATATGTTCCTTTGATCGATTATCGTCGGAGTGCTGACAACTAAGCCGATGATACGCTAGGAGACAAACAGTAACCATGTCAGAGCACTCATTTCTTTTGACTGCAATTTCATTAAAATGGGAAAATGCATTGATTTAAAAAAAATATTATGATATATGACATATAAAATATTTTACCTTTCTATTGTCTGAAAATAACGTTTTCTTCAAGCATTTTCTTCAAGTTCTATTTTATTGAACTAACTTATAAGTAATAATTAAAATCAAAGTGATAACGGAACGGGTTTAAATCTTGATTTAAGATGTGTATTTCACAATTTTTTATGGACTGTATCTCTGGAAGTACAGATGCTACATATATCATTTTTCGGTATTCGGATGCAATTCAGCGACTTCTAAATTTCATCAAAATCGAAATATCGCCCAATTACGTATACTTTGCTTTAAATAAAAAAAATTACATAAAAAATCATCTAGATTCTTTGAAAGATGATTCATTCAAAGAATTATATAGTTCTATATAATGCCTTGATTCAATGTTATAAAGTTTTTTTCATAACCAAAACCAAAGGTCGTAAAAATTTAAGAAAAAATAACGTTTGGTTAAAGCCGTAACAGTTAAATTGCGATTTGAAAAAATGTTGCCAAACAAAAAAATAAAAAACGAAAAAATTGGGAAACGGGTAAAATCTATCATATTTCAAGCAATACAATACGAAATTTTAGTATTACTTTTCTGAAGCACTATAAATCATTAAACATTTTGTAGGCAGCTATCATAGATGTTAAATTCTACTACAGTTTGAATAAAATGTATGATTATAAACATGTATAAACAATTACAAAAATCATAATAGTTTTTAAAAATGGCTTATCTAATATTCTGCTTAAAGTATGTTTTGTTATTTGATATCCACTTGCCGCAACTTAACTTTAAATTTGAAATTTTGAATGGCTGTATAAAAAGCATTTTGTGTTTGTATAATATTGTTGTGATGAAAAGGTGGAAGGACGAGACAACTTTCATTGACTGCTCCGTGTCGTAAATTACAACCAATTTTCAAATTATTCTAATACTTTGGTTGATTAAGGCAATGGAACGAGATAATATCACACTTACATTCTTCTGTTTATGAAGCACACCATCAACTCGGTTACTACTATTCAAAGAAAATAGTACAAATAAATAAGCATCTGTGATCTTCGAGTGTCTCACTGACACTACACCGAATTTAGTTACTTCTGAAATTGTTTAAGATAATAATTTGCTCACCTTCTTTTTTCTCTGTTTCTGAACCAATTAGGCTGTCGATATCATAGGATCTTCTTTTTATGCACAAATCCATTTTCAAGTATTTAAAATGATTTTGAGTGTTTTTAAACTGAGGAAAGTTTAACAAAATACACTCGCTTCTAGAGTTTTAAATAAATACGACGCATAAAATTATGCTAGCGGATTAAATATCTGTCATTATGAAATGAAAATAAAATCTATTTGTATCGTGATAATTTGTCAATTAACAATGTTGAAGTACATAACGATTTTTATTTCTACCAATAATTCTGATTGATAATGATGAAAGTGTAATACATCCACGTGTATTCTCATCAAAGACACGCCTCTTTAGTTGGCTGCTGCAAAAATTCATTACATTTTTATTACCACTGTAACAAGCAGATGTATACATTAAACCAATTGCATCATTAACCTGAATAAAATGATTAAAAAACAATTATCTCACTAAATACTACTTCTGGACACGCGTGTCCTAATATATGGATATGTTGTCAAGACTGTTCTGATTGTTCAAATCCCACAACAAAAAGTATGTATGATTGTCTTGTAAAGTTAAAATGTAAATAAATTGCACTTTTTAAACTTTATTCTAGCGCTAGACAAACATAGAAATATAGGATTTTTCAAAAACCAATTAATACAAAGTCAGGTAAATAATGGTGTGCAAGTCTTTATTTCCCTGCCAAAAACCTCGTCTTAATCCTAAGATAGCTTCGAGAACACCACCCCAGTTGTTTTGTGTAGTTTGTACTGTCTCTGGCTATGGAATGGTTGTAGGGAGTTGTTTGTACTGTCTCTTGCTTTTGAATAGTTGCATGGTGTTGTTTTTACTGTCTCTTGCTATGCAACAGTTGTATGGTTTTGTTTGTACTGTCTCTTGATATGAAATAGTTGTATGGTGTTGTTTGTACTGTCTCTTGCTATGAAATAGTTGTATGGTGTTGTTTGTACTGAATAAAGTATGGAATGGTTCTATGGTGTTGTTTGTACTATCTCTGGCCATGTTCTGTTCTATGGAGTTATGTATACTGTCTCTGGCTTTAAATAGTTCTATGGTGTTGTTTGTTTTGTCTTTGGCGTTGGAATAGTTCTATGGTGTTGTTTGTTTTGTCTTTGGCGTTGGAATAGTTCTATGGTGTTGTTTGTACTGTATTTGGCGTTGGAATAGTTTTATGTTGTTGTTTGTACTGTCTCCTGATTACAGACTTCATATTTTAGTATTGTAATGTTATCATATCTACACAACTCTTTTGAACATAACAATTAGAAATATTTTCAACAACATTTATCCCTAATGAATACATCATGACTGGATACATGGTAAGTAGTCTCTTGAAGATGTGCCGATATTTTACCATTAAACTGTGAGCTACAATGTGCATGTTACTCACTGCAACAATTTTGCAGATTGGAAAAACAAAATAAGAAAGGAACCCAGTGCTATTACTAGAGACAGTATGTGTTATGTGAATTGTCGGATAAATAGTACTCGTCTTAACTAGAAATACACTGTGTGACATATCATAAAAAGTCACCGTGATGTTAATTGTACAATTAACACATAGGAACATAAATGTCCTGCCAATTTACTGCATACAAATAGAGGTGAACACCTGTCAAAATATACATTCAAATTTAATTTGTTTGACATTTGTAATTGTTTAAATACGTGGCATTATAAACTTTATAATTTGCACTTTTGTTATATTCTGCATGAAAATGTACATTGCCTGAGATAGCTGAATAGTGTACAAAATATACACCGATTCTTTCTCTATTTCCTACTATATATATGAAACTTCTAGGAATAATCTATTCTTTCTTTTTGTAATTTTTTTTCTCGTCTCCTTTCATAATCATCCACCTGGGACCAGGTGTGAGTCATATTTAAGTGATGCGTTAAGATGAAAATCATTTAGGACAGTACGGTTGTTCAACAACAAACACTGTGATTTTAATATTCCGCAGTCAAACACATGTTAAATACAATATAACCTCCTCCTTGCCAATAAGAAAGAGGGTCTATATGCCTGTCCCTACCCGACTCGCTTAGGATCGTACCAAAATATCCATAGCTTAGCTTTTTTTATTTTTCATGCCAATCTATGTTTAATCTTGGACTAATGCATGAACATATTGTTCCCATGTCTATTGTAATATACCCAAAAAGAAAAAAGCGGCTTGTCCCGCCCTCCCTTATCAATGATACTTTATTATTTGAGAGAATGACTGAAGGGTTTTCACGCCTCAATACAGATTTTCATGAACCTGGAGATAAGATTAATCGATTATATACACTCCTTATTGGAGACACAAACTCATCAAACCAAACAGTCCTTTCATTGTAAGTCTCATTTCAATGGGCTGTAAATAAACGAGATAGCAGGGACCTTAACCACAATGGTTTTACTAATATGCCAAATGAGAACTCTAGTATACATGTATGTGTACGACATGTGCCACTTTTTATCTCCTTTATCAGCAAAATATTAGTGTTGATTTATTGCCTTGCATATTACATAGATAGTTGTCAATTCAAAAATCGTATGCTGACCTAAATAATTCTTTTGGTGATTGAACAATGAAAATGTGCGTGTGTGTGTGTGTGTGTGTTTGTTTTACTTTAATAATCTATGAGAACGGAATAATGATTTTAAAACTATTATTTTTTGCAGTCAGTTTGTTTTGTCAAAATAAACCAAAAAGCCCCTATTAAGACCCACGTGATCCATATACACGCAACGTTCAATTTTAGCTCAGTTTGAGAAGATTGTGCTCAGCAAATTCCGTTATTGCAAAAAATATCAGCTGAAAAGTGAAACTTTTTTACCCGCCAAAATAAATCATACCGATACATTTTACTAGTAAAACGATAATGTGCTTTATTTTTTTTAAAAACAAATCAAACAGAAAAATTGTCATTATACTATTGCATGTTCTATTCGTATTTATGTGCTCATATATTTTAATTATTATTATTATTCATATTTATACCAATTGGGTCACATTCCTATCAGCAATCTTCGAAGGTCATGTTGATTGTGAAATAGATGGCGTCCGGTCCAAAAACTGTATGACTGGCTCGAGGTAACTGAAGTTAGTTTTCGACTGTGAAATCTGCATTAGGAAATAAGATACTAACAGGTATTGAAACACATAGCTGACGAAAGATGTACAACACCATGGATGATAGAAAAAGAATAGTTCGGAAAGAGTTTACAAAGCACTAACCAGTAAAATAAGGATTAAGCAATATGAACCCCACTAGAATCTTTCAGGACACAAAATGATTAGGAAACCTATCTCTACAAAGTATATCTGTTTTAATATGTTTTTCGTGCATATGGTTAAATTAGGAAGAAATGCGATAAAAGATTTGTTTTTATATATACATATATATATATATATATATAAGTCTAGAGATTTGCACAACGATACTAATATAAGATGGTATTATACGAAGATGTTGTTATTAAATCGTGTTGACAAATATTTCGGCTTAACGCATAGCCTTCTTCAGTGTCAATAATTTTAACAATACTGTATTGTTAAAATTATTGACACTGAAGAAGGCTATTTGTTAAGCCGAAATATTTGTCAACTGTATTGTTAAAATTATTGTCACTGAAGAAGGCTATTTGCTAAGCCGAAATATTTGTCAACACGATTTAATAACAACATCTTCGTATAATACCATCTTATATTAGTATCGTTGTGCAAATCTCTAGACTTATATAATTTTTTACTTATCTGCACAGTACCGTCTATTCTAGACGATCCGGTACATAGTAAATTTGCTGGTTGGTCCTTTTTATAGACTTCTATATATATATGAAACACAAAATGCATTTAACGTTTATATATCTAGTGGATGCCACAAACACCTGGCAATTTATCCAACACATTACTTCGCAAATGGGATCAAACCCTCTACCATTGTTCCAAGCGGTTAATGGTCCTCCTCAAACAACACTGCGAAGAACATCTGAAAACTCTGTCTGGCGAATTTAACACCCTTTTTAATAGCTGCCAAAAAGATCTCACATCTGACAATTGTGATGCTATCAATGCTCGCCTTAAAGACATAACAACCATACAATCCCAAAATTTGAGTGAAAGGCAGAAAAGAAAATTCCGTAGGGATGGCATCGAACATATCCATCCTTTTTTACCATCTGAAAAAAAGAGGAAACGAGTAAGACGCTTTAAACGTAGGTCACTAGAGACTGATTCGCCCTCCAACATTGTGGTCAATCTTTCCAAACACCAGTTAACGGAAGCTGAAACATCTCTTCTCTCGAGAGGCTTAAATTGCTGTCCTCTACCTGCCCCTGTCATTGAAACTAAATTGTCGGAAGACCTTGACAATTTTGCCAGAAGTCTACGCATTAAGGAATATTTCGCGTCGAAGGAGAATAACAACAGAAGCTCGGATAGCGACTCAGAAATTTCAGAAGACGAGAACAACTACAAATTTATAAAAAAGAGTACTTGGATCCCTAAACCGAGCAAAAATGCCACCTTGGAATCATTTATTGACAATTTTAAGTCGGACATTATTAGAAATACTAGAAATAACAATAAACCTTTTGACAATCTTACCAATGAAGAACGAACTGCACTGAAAAACTTACGATCTAACGACAATATCGTCATTAAACCTGCAGACAAAGGCAGTGCAGTGGTTGTCATGGATAAATCTGTCTATATTCAAGAGGCTGAACGACAACTTGGCGATGCAAGGTTCTACCAAAAACTAGACTCTGATCCTACAACATCTTTAAGCAGAGAAATAACTGATAGTTTGGTAGAAATGCACAACGATGGTTTCATCGATGAAAAGACTCTTGAATATTTGAAACCAGAAAATCCAAAACCGGGCAGATTTTATCTTTTACATCCGACGGAAAAAATATCGGAATTCGTTGACTTCCATTTCGTCAACATGTTGAAGACTTACCATTATCTTAGAAAATTGCAGGCCTTAAATCCACTCCCCTCCGACACGACACTTGTCTCTATGGACGTCACCTCCCTCTACACGAATATTCCACATGCAGATGGCATTGATGCATGTAAAGAAGTTTGGAATTCCCGACCAGTGAAATATCCACCTACTGAATGCCTGGTCAAAATGCTCACGCTGGTACTAAAAAACAACAACT